AGATCGTGTATTGATGATGATAAATTGTATGCTTTTTTTACTTGCTAAATATAATTATTTATGCTTAGGTGGGCCACTGCATCTCGGTGACATCGAAAATTTAATCAGTGAAGATCAACGTTTGGTCCCTTGTATAGTGTGTCCTTGGCATCGATGGACGTTTAGATTGGATAATGGTCAACGAATCCGAAAGATTATGTCTGACGTCGGTGATCTCGAATTGATTCGAACCACGGGTAATTTCACAATTCATGGGGCCTGTGGTGTTGGTGTTAAGCTTTACACTGTATTAATGGATAGCAATGAAAATTTATACATACGATTTCATCAATTTGATAGTAAATTGTTCAGTGGCAAAGACATCTGTCTATAAGTATTCTCAGTAAATAATGTTACTATATCTGTATTATGAAATTTTGAGATTGCCGTTGCTTACAATGTGGTTGCTTTATCAAATTGACATTAAATACGTTAAATTACTATCTTCAACATTGTAGTCCATCGCTACGAGTAGAATAGCTGGATAGTGAAACGTCTTTCTTCCAATGCAAATGTAATATCTCAATATTGTATTGTGTATATATACAGCATAGAATCTTACATTGCCTTCTAGCTATTGACTTTGTCAATTATCCCTGCTGTAACATGTAATATACATATACCTAAAGTTATCTATAAAAGGAGGTAAAAGACAATTCACGTTCAGTAGTCATTATTGTTAAAGGTTACCCTTTTGCTGAGCTTTGCTACAATATTCCAGTTATTAAAGTTGGAAAGCATGGGCTGCCAATCAACTATTTATCAATCATTTGACCGTACTACTTATATGTGAATGATACCTTTTCTTTGTACTATGATGTAGAAGTTATAATGATGAGTTGATTCATCATAGATCAATTTTGTCATGTATATGTACACCACTCTAATAGAGGAGATTATAGTGATAAAAGAAAGCGGTTCAATTTTTGTAATTTAATTCATTCATTTGTCTTATGATACTGCTAATTTATAATTATTCATGAAACAATTTTGCTTGGATGTCTAAGAAAGCTTAGGATCATTATTGCACATCTTGACGCTTTGTTCCGACCACAAGAAAACATTCAATTGCAAGAGCGAATTGATTGTACTTGTTACAAACAAATATTCATTCATTCCATCAGTTATGTTACTCCAGTCATGGTGTAGCGTTGTAAACTGTTACTGTAATCACGACAACGGCAACTCTTTCTCGCTACCAAAAAGTCGCTGCCATGTTTCCATGATCTTAAACTTGCTTGTGTTTCAGATAAAAATACACAAACGTCTACTTGTTGACAGATTTATAGCAGCTATTTTCGTCTTGCATTGTGTAACCGTTGTATAATCACGGCGAAAAACAGACAATCATTTTGTACACTTTGATTTGAATTTACTAAGAGAGACAACTGCTCCATTCATGGTTTGTTTACAAGTACAAGTATGTGCTTTGGTTACGGTCGTAAGGCGTCTGAAGGAGTCCGCCTACTTGTACCCTAATGCAATAATATATCGGAAAATGATTTAATAAATATAATCATCATTATTCTATACTAGAGTTTTGAGTTGATCGGTTATTAATTAATTTCATATCGAACGGCAACGGTTCCTTTTTTTATTTTGCGCGTATTGGCTGGCCCATTGTAGGAATTGAATATTGACTAATAACAGTCGATTTTGGACAGATTACATGGATTCATCATAATACATTTCTATCGCTTGTATTGGAAATATATCCACCAATTTTAGAGCGACAAAATAAAGGTAAATGTATAGATTGACGATGACCTCTTGGTTTAATCGCTATCCTGTCTACTGATGTTAAAGTCATGCTAGTTGATCGTCAACTTAGCGCTCAGCGTATTTTAGTCAGATTACAAGGGGAAAAATGATGACAATGAGAAGAAAAATAGCTTTTGTGCATGTCTAACTGACCAATTACCGACATTATATGTATGACATAGAATCTGGTATTTATTGCGTTGATATGTAGACTAGTAAGAAAAGAATGGAGTTTTGTTATTGAAGTAATTGTAAATAACTTGTAAATTAGTCATTAAATGATTAATTTATGCTAATTACTGTATAGTATTTCAAGCGTCATTATAGGATACGTATTAAGGTTATACAGTACATTAAAATGCTACGTTCAAGAGTAACGTGTTGACGGTTGGCTTTTCAATCGATCAGTGTGTCAGTGATAAAGACCGAATTTTGGGACATGAAGTATGTTGTAAATTAACTTTGGAAAAGGATCTTTTGCAGCTATCTATCCAGTGGCGAGGAAGTAAGTGATGCTACGTATACTATGAGTGACATCATAAATTGGATGTCTTGTGTGATAGAGTTACTATAATATTATACTGTATAATCGATGGGAAGACATGTGTCACTTGAAAATCCAAATTTGTTTTGATGGTTTACGCTATCTGCTCGGTTTGCTCGTTGTCAAAGATTTCTACTGCTGTACGCTGATATATTAAGTGACAAAGAGTACAGTATATGATTTGCCCACATTCGATCCCAAGGTGATGATGAAGCATGAACATATAGCGTAGGGCTATAATAATGTTTTGTTCACCGTTATTCTCTGTATTATCTATCCATAATCATAGTAAATAGATTAGATAATCAAAAATATGATAAAAACATGATGGACAAGTAACAATACAGTCTTTGTTTCAATCGATCCAAAATAACATCATTTACAATTATTAGCCATGGTTGTGAGTGACTTTAGCATTTAAAACAAGCATTACGATTCTATTCTAGTAGTGATTGACGTTATAAGAATGTCCACATTTATTCGATGATGAGGTAGAGTCGTATGTACACATGTCTCAGAGTAATATAGAATAAATAATCAATTTTATTATATACTGTATAATATTGTATCCTAAGCAAATAGGACATCTTGAAATGCTGCCGATACCGACACTTGTTTATTACCGTAAGGAAAGTTTTCAACAGCACAAGAGTCGATGCGTAATGACTCTTCAACACTGATGATGATATTTACAGTGGTAAATATTTTTTTCTTGGCAGAACTGATTAGTGTAGTTTATATGCTAAGAATAGGTAAGCAAGCGGCTATTCAACCTTGTGATTATGAATAGAGAAGATGCTTCTTTTGTCGGATTGACAGTTCCACACCAAGTATCAGTAGACAGTTATAGAGCGGCATAAATTAGTTGTAAGTACAGTTTCCTTACACGCATCGATCGATGATGATAGAGTACAGATTTACAGACAGTAGTGCCATTACTGCGACAATCGTCTCTACTGTAGAGAGTTCGAGCATTCCACTGTTGACTCCAGCTCACCACTAGTTCATGATGATCGGCGTCGCTATCAACAAACAATCAACACAGAAAGCAGCCCATGCGTAGCAAAATACGTCATTATCGTTTTTGTTTTATTCATTTACATGGGCTATTATCATGCTATATTATTCATGTCTTTTATTGATCAGGATATTATTGTTATTTATTAATGCTGTGCAGTAATTTATACGTAAATGGTGTCAGACAAAGTTGCCATTTTCCAAGTCATAGTTTTGTCAACATTTTATCCAGTCCTATCCATTATCTTTCCTTTTCTGATTGAATCATTGAGGGTAAATTAACGTAACTTACATTACAAATGATATGGCTTTAGGCATTTGGGCATAGGGTAGTCATTTTTGGACTTGCATTGTGCAATATCCTCGTCTAGTACAGTATATTCGATTGATCCAGACTTGCAATTGAAGACGGTGAATGATCGATGTCCTCTCGTTACATTAACCGAACCCTCGCGATGTGGATATGTCCTATCTACGAGTGATATCGAGTCAGGTATAGCAGTATGCTGTATTTTATCGACTCGTTGTGATGGGGGTTCGATTCTTTTCCTTCTACTTTTAGCCTGCCTACTGTATCGAGTCTGACAGTAGCATAGTAGTACTGTACAGTACGTCGAGCATGAACGTCACTGCCTACGTCACTGTCTGCTTCTTGTACAGTATCGTTTGGACTCGGCAGTACTGTAGATAACATACTGTACACTGTAGAGCTCTTGTAGTACTGTACTGTACAGTATACTGTAGTAGTATTCAAGATGCACCAATTCATTTGGGCTACACAGTATAGCGCTGGACCATGTTTTGTAAAGCACAGTCGTGGATTGCGGCCAACGGGGCGACCTTGTGAACTGCAAAGTGCAAAATTTTATGACGCGTTACGAGAGGACAAAAATCGCAGTACAGTCATTTAGTCCATTTTCAGCCATAAGCATTGAGCAAGCTCTCGGCTATTGACCGTGTCTGAAGGCTTACCTCTGACAGGTCTAGACTGACTTGACGAATAAGATCAGTACAGTACAGTGTTTTGTTTTTTGGATACTGTAGAGTGTACAGTGCGAGTACTGTACACTCTACAAGTCGATTACTATAGCGTCAGCCAGCGGTTGCATGACACAGCAATCGATCGATGGCGTACCGCACCGCACCGCACCATACCGTATCGAGGAGATTACAGTACTTAGTACTGGCAGTCCAATGATCGTACTGTACTGTACTGTACTGTAGTCTGTAGCTGCACTCCACTCGGTTTGATTGACTGGCCGAGTAGAAATTGTACCTATCAGCGACAAGCTGTTTGTATACTATCTAATACTCGTTATTAGATAGCACTCTGTCAATCAGTAAAGAGAGAGAGAGAGAGATTATCCTCGTTGAGCTTGGTTGTGTCTTATTTTTATTTTACAGATCGTCTACAGTATCCATCGCAGGCTCATCGAGGTGCCAAGATTGCAATTCTTCCATTCATTAATTGACCAGTGGATCGTTATCGTCTTACTGGATTGATATCCATTCTTGCTTGATACAATACTAGTACCAGTCTCATTCCTTCCATTGGCAATCCAAGCGTTGCTTTATTTGATTCATTGTGAGTACGCGGTGTTGAGAAGAAAGCTCCAGGATTGAGGGGAAAAAAAAAAAAATGGCCGATGAACATCAGTTTGTCGGGCCTTATATATTGGAAAGAACCCTTGGTAAAGGCCAAACAGGTAAATTACCATTGCCATTGTGTTAAACTAAACTACTGCAAATCAATCATCTATCGTCACTAGTTTATCCTTCACGTATCGACGTGTAGACAAGGAATCCATTTCCTTATCATTAATAGCATGATCATCACCAGCAAGCCAATCGGGTGTCCACACTACAAAATGGACATAACTGTATTGTAGCGATAGTCTCCACCATAATCATTTCAGTCGGTTATCTCACTGTCGTCAAACATCATGATTATAGAGGTAGACAATAAAAAGATAGATTGGACAAGGCTGGCTAGTTTATCCTACCAGTAGAATGAACAGGTATCACAGTCCGTCCAATAATCCACATTAGTCGTAACGCGCTTACACTACAATATGAGGATCACAATCATAATAAAAAATGACCGATAACCAGCGTCTACGTAAACTTGTTAATCGTTTCAACACTGAATAACATACGCTTGAAAGCAGCATTCAATAGCCTGGTAAAAGAACGATGGATAATTATTTTTCACTATAGCAGTCAAAACATGTTACTTGATCGTTTGCGAGCCATGCCTAATTGCTGTGGATCAATTCCAACTTGTATACTAACATGCATTTCTGGCAATTTTTTTTTTCTTGGCCCATATTTTGGATGCTTTAGGTTTAGTCAAGCTAGGAATTCACTGTCAAACTCGTAAAAAAGTGGCTATCAAGATTATCTGTCGTGATAAACTGAGTAAATCTTTGTTATCTAAGGTTAGTTGGAACATTTGCATTTCAATGATAATGATGACGGTCATGCTAGGCAGTAGTAGCAAAAAGAGATTAAGCGTCAATGATACCATCCAGAATAACGTGATATCCTGGCACAAACTTGCACTCTATTTCTTGCCTTGATCGCAATCAGACGCCCATTTCATTGATATCCATTGCTAGCAATGCAAAATCGTCCAATCTCATGACAAGTCCAGTATTGGCCTAAAGGCATAATTAGGTTAAATTGAATTGTTTGTTGGATAAAATACCTTTCGTCTACATGATTCTTTTACTCGCTCCTTTTCAAAGCATCCATCATTTGCCAGTCATTGATTCAACGCGTTGTATATATATAGATCAAGAACGATCTAGATGAATACATTTCTTTTATCCATCGCTAACTGTATTTGATCGAGTGCTCATCACTAGTGATCGATCCTACGAGAATCCACTCTTCTCTTCTTTTAATAGACAATTTGAAGCGAATTGGCCTATTTTGAATCCCTTCATAATATTGTCATCGTCATGATTTACAGTATATTAGAATATGTCAAGCAGCAGTTGCATACTCATTATAATACAAGTATAAACAGTATCATCATCCACATTGAAATTATTTTTTCTTTATCTTTTTGATATGCAGGTATTTTTTTTTATTTATTGATGCTATCATTTTCTCTTTTCTCCATATAAGTCTTACGCTTATCGACTAGTGTAATGCAATACTATCGATCAGTTTTTCGATCCATTCATAAACTGATATTGAGAGCGGGAGAAAAGTTTTCCATCGTGGCAGTAACGACTTGCTCTTTTGTGCAGTCGTCAATAACACAATTTAAAGTCGACAATATGGCCCCTTTGATTTCCAATGTACAGCCCTGTAGTCATGGAGTAAAACACGAGTAGGAAAGAAAAAGGGATAGATCACAGACTAAATCGATATTTTACATTGATGGCTGAATGAATACGAATGAGAATCGATTGTGAGAAATAATAAATTTACGAGTGATTTTCTACCCATAACCTTGATGTTAGCGACATCAACATTCAAGACTGTTAATTTATCTTTAGCACCTTTACATCGTGTCAATAGAGAGATGTCCGTGTAAAGCGTTAGTTTACACCATTCCAACGGCATACTCCATGTTATTCTAGCCTTCTAATTATTCCTCAATCTTTCCACTCGAACCTATACTGTATATTTTTTAAATTGATAACAACACCAATTAATTAATTGTAATCTATTATTCTTTTGCCTTGAAAGGCTTGTTAGAACAACCCGCGTATTTACACGAATTACAACATTTATGCAATCTTGCTAACGATGTGATCGCCTTCACGACAGCAATCCTACATAATGGAATTAATTTATAGCCAATCTTCTTCATTGCTATGGGGCTTGCTATTGACTGGCTACATACAAATCTTTTCCACATGCCATTAGTTCTATTTTGTGTGTGTGTGTATGTGCATGCCAAAGTCTGAATTATAATCTATTGTATCAGAAATGCAAACAGGATTACTGTCTACTATAACCGGCTGCGATTTTCTACTATAGGAGTATATGCTTTAGCATAAATCGATAGCACATTAAGTATTAACGATCCTCCACCTCCCCTGAATCGTCGTAAGTTGTACGCGTCCCTGGAGCTACACGAAGTGTGCTAATGTTGAAAAATTAGTTATCCTATCCACAAATCGATAACGCATTACGTATTAACTATCCTCCACCCCCCTGAATCGTCGTAAGTTGTACGCGTCCCTGGAGCTACACGAAATGTGCTAATGTTGAAAAATTATTTATCCTATCCGCGTTATAATCCAGCCAATTCATATTCCTTGCTACTCTACAATCTTGTCGACATAACCACTTATAGCCAGCAAATCATGATGAATAGTTATAGTACCTGTCGTTATTATGCGAGCTGTAGGCGTATTCGTAAGAAAGTAAAATCGAGAATGAAAACTTTCCATTTACAAGTCTAAATTGAATTTTTTTTAAAATAGGCCCAATCCAATATGAGACGTTAGCTAAATCAAATTGAATCTATTTTCACAAACGCTTTATCGTACTATAAATGATATCAAAGTAGTTATAATCTACAAGATGAATCAAGAATAATTTCACAACGATAGAGTAAAGACTAGTTTGTTGATGGCTTTCTTTTAGCTTTATCGTACTATAAATGATATCAAAGTAATTATAATCTACAAGATGAATCAAGAATAATTTCACAACGATAGAGTAAAGACTAGTTTGTTGATGGCTTTCTTCTAGCTTTCATAGCTACATTATTGTTATTGAGCTAAATACTAACTGTATATGCGAAATTCGAGTAGGTGTGATATTTGAAACACTCCTACTGTACATACTAACCTACAATACCTGGATCGAATCAGATCACAAAGTATTTTTGATCACAACTAACTCGCCACAGTGAACATAAAATGAATACAGTCACTCTGCGAGAGAGATGAAAAGTGGAGTAAAGAATGAAAAATCGCCATCAATAATGACTCCCTGGTATCAATTGATTATTAAGTTAATAATCCTTTCAAATTTTATGATTGTAGGATAAATTTTGATATGATTTCTTTGGGTTGGTAACGATATAAGAAGATATTGTATTAATTATATGTATATCATTTATTTTTACAATCTTCACCAAATCAATAACTAGAATTGATCCGCTATTCAACAATATTCTTAATACTTGCCTCTATTCTCACATATTCAAGTAAAAAGCATAACATAAACTGATGACAAATCTCTCAATTTATAGTAGTAGACTACTGTATCTTTCCCAACACTATTGAAGCCTTGTCAAAGGATATAAAATTGAATTTTATCTCTATTCTAATGTACAAAGCGTACACTATCCAACACCGATGCATCTAGTGGAGATGTCCACCGTTTTCAAGTCATGCAGACTCTAATTTCACTTATTTTATTAGTCTACTTAAAGCTTGCATAAAAAGAATTGTCGAAACTATGTTAGTGATGTTAGGGAAAGACAGTTAATTCTCTCTAATCAATAATTTCTTTTGATAAATTATTTACTAGCTATTGCTATCATTTAAGTCAAATACATGCTTGATTTCGTTTAATTTAGGTTGAAAGAGAAATTACGATCATGAAATTGATTGAGCATCCACACGTTTTGGGATTATTTGATGTATACGAAAATAAAAAAATGCTGTAAGTATTTTTACTGATCGGATAGATTGATGACTACTAATTTATCTTATGACTGGTACTCTAGAAACAACTCATCTTATTTCATGTAGTAATATTGACTGTAGTCTTTATTTTCATCAAAATTCTTTCAATTCTTTTCCTATTTAATATCGACATTGAATTTTTCTAGATTTATCCTCTAGATGCTTCTTTTTGCCTGCTTTTTTATGTTTTCATTCTTTTTTTCTTATCTTTGATCCTTTCTATCGTCATTGATGAGGCTTTCTTTTTTGATCAATATGTGATAGCATAGTATAAAAACCCCCATTTTTTATATGGTTATTTCAGCTAGAAATCAATTGTTCCTATAAATTATTTTACAGTAATTTTGAGTATAGATAGGATTATGGATAATATCTTCGTTTTATTTTTCATTCTATTCCCATTTGTTAACAACTAGGATTTAGGAATGCTTGTACTAATATATATTCTATCTTACTGAGAACTTGTAATTCAATTGTATTTTAGTTACTTAGTTCTGGAACATGTCAGTGGTGGAGAACTTTTCGATTATTTAGTCAAAAAAGGTCGCTTGTCGCCTAAGGAGGTACATTGTTATGCCTAGAAGTAAAATGATTTTCTTCATTGCTTGTCTATTCATCATCTCTTCACATTCTTTAGAGTGATTTCAAAAATAAACGTAAAGCATTAGATACTGAACAACTGTATCACAGTAATACAGTAACTATAATGTAATGATTGAACGCGAAATACTGTATAACGGAATTGACATGATGAGACCATCATCATCATCAAATATTTATACGCATTCTATCAGTACTATGAAAGAAATAACCTTGTCAACTTGCATATAATCTACCATACCTTTATACAGTATTTTCCGCCTTTTTCAAAGGCATTCCCCTACTAGTATTCTTTTTTTATGTTCTGTCTACAATCATCTTCCAAGTTGTAGTATAAATTGTATAAAAATAAAATTTTAGCTTTATCAAGGATATTCTAATTGAATGTATCACTTCGTGATAGAGTAATGTAGTTCCTATTATTTTCTTGAAAATGGATTCTTGAATACTTATAGATTGACTGTCATCCAGTTATAGACTACATAGTCATCAATATACTAAAATAATCGCCTACCTTCTGAACTGCTACCAATAATGATTTTTAAATATGACTATTTAATGTCAGGGTGTAGTTTTGGTTATAGTACTACACTTTATTGTTCTTTAAATCGCTAAAAAAAATATCTGATTCAATTATAACGATATTAAATACTGTTTACTAGAAAAGTAGAAATCATGTATCTCACAGTAAAGTATTATAAGCCTGTAATTGCTATATAACAAGCTATTTGGCACTATTTTAACTATTCTATTAAAATGGAGCATATTGATTTTATTTTTTGCTTGAGTTCTGATCACAATTTTGTTATAAATTTATCAAGATCAATAAAAAATAGTACAATGGAACAATAACCACCAAAATAAAATAGTTACCAAACGTAACATTAATGAAATATCTATCACATATAATAAAATCATTGATCATTTTACTTGATTATAGGCTAGGAAATATTTCAGGCAAATCATTTCTGCTTTAGATTTTTGCCAGAGTCACTGCATTTGGTAATGATAATATCATAATCTAAACGTATCATATTCTTTCTTTACTCCTAGTAATCAATCATCTTAAATCAATTTTTAACACTATATACATTTTAAAATGAAAACTGTTCCTAATTGATGCACCGAAAATACTACCATTAATGTTAATGCTTTTTGCGGATATCTTAAGCCATCGCGATTTGAAACCTGAAAATTTGTTGCTGGATGGTAAAATGAATATCAAAGTTGCTGATTTTGGCATGGCCTCTTTACAGGTATTGACAACAAACGCGACGAATTTTCAATAATTTATTTCCACTGTAGTCGTCAACTCAAGTGATACTAACATTTCACTGCATATTTGTTCTATACTATTTGTTGTATTAATAAATAGAAAATGTTAGTTGTCTTATTTACTACTCCAACTACTTATTATAGATTAAATTTATCGATTATTGTTTATTAAAATATACTTCATGGTCTAATCCCTTTTTTACTACGTTTATAGGTTGAGGACGCAATGTTGGAAACTAGCTGTGGGTATGTATGGCAATATCAAACAGTAATGCATGTAGACCTGGATACCTACTCATAGTTCAGCTCTACTTGCTAGAGGATCTGATAATTACATTATCGTAAACCTTATCAGAAGTGAAAAATATAATGTATATTATATTATGTATATTATAGTCAGTACGCGATAAAATATTTTTGCGATAACTAGTCATCGACTGGATAGCCTTTAATCTATCATAAGTCATTTAGGTAAAATATAAAGGTTTCGATGTGTTGTTTGTATACTATTTTGAAGCTTGAGCTTAAATCATAATCAGTTATATATAGTAAGTATTCTGATAGACTGAAGAGAATATTAATTGCTCTTTAATTGGATCAGTCCTTACTAAATCAATTTATGAGCACTGAATAAGCACCCAGATTAGACATCGTTAGTTTTTTATTGATTTTTGTTACTCTCTTCAATCGATATGATACCCTACTGAACAACATACACAGTTCTCCTCATTATGTGTGCCCAGAAATCATTAGGGTAAGCTTATTTTGCACTGTGTTCATAAATAAAATGGTTCCTATTAATTATTAGCTATCAGAGAATAGATATCATAATTGATAGCGTATTTTACTTTACTTTCTAGGGAGAAAAGTACGATGGTCGCAAAGCTGACGTCTGGAGTGCTGGTGTTATTCTTTTCGCTTTATTAGTCGTAAGATTTACATTGTTTTTTTTTCATTTTATCTTTATTCGCATACCGAAATAAGATCCATCTCATCGAATTGCATATGCAATTTCTAATCATTTAGGGATCATTACCATTTGATGATGAAAATCTTAGAAGGCTATTAGACAAGGTTAATATGCAGATACTTTACTTCTGCTACAGTCTTTAGTAAATTTAAAACGCGAAGTAATAACAATATTTTAATCGATAATTATATAATTTAGTGTACATAGTCAGGTGAACAATTCTAACAGTTTGCCTTTTTAATAAAGGTCAAAAAAGGCAACTTTAGCATTCCTGATTTTGTGCCCAGCGAATGTCAAGATTTATTGAAACGCATGATAGAGAAAGATCCAGAAAAAAGATATTCGGTATAGAGGACTGTAAATCTCTATTGTTGTCGAAAGTTTAATGTTACTGTAATCTTTCTATAATTGATTTCTTCTGGCAAGATCGCTTATAATAATAGAACTTATAGATTATTTTGCCAACAATTGATTCATTTATTTCATTCTGTTATTATTAGATTGCAGATGTTTATAAACATCCATGGATGAAAGAGTTAGTATCTCTCTTACTAAATTGTTAAAATTTTATTTTTAACCAACATCTTACGATTATGTCATTGATGTACTGCATATACAATATATAGCTACTGCGGAGAGGTGGAATTAGAAGCACCAATGCAAGATGTAGTCCAGGTAATATACTCTGGAGTTTCCTTGATATAATATTTGGCCAACGCAATCTTCATGGGAAATATCATGATACAATCTCATTACGATTTTTAATAGCAATTCAAATTAATGATTACAATTAAATATTACAGACAGAGATGATTTCTTCTGAATCTATGATCGATCTTGATGTATTCGATTCAATGACAAGTTTGGGATGCTTTAAAGATAAGGATGACTTGAAGAAGAAGCTTTTAGACCCACAGTAAGTAATAATTATCATTATCCTTAGCGTACGCGTATACAACTATTATACCCTATACAGTACTAACTTTGCTTGTAGCTAATTAATCAGTCCTATATTTGACCTATTGGTACAAAATTTTCTGTTTCATTTTGCAGTCACAATACGCAAAAAGTTGTTTATTACCTTTTACTTGATCGTAAACTTCGCAAGCCAGCAGTGAACGATGTTGATCCTTTCTTTGATTTGGATATCTGTAAGAGAATTATTATGTTTGATTTAACTCGAATCTTTTAATGTATAATTGTAAATTTTATGCTTCTACTACTTTTCTAAAGCTGATCCACCGCGTAAGCGAGTAGATTCATTTAACTCTCCTCGTCAGTCTCCAAGGTTAGTGGAGTGCTATTAAAGATTGATATAACTGTCAATAGTCCTGTCTTTGTTTTAAGCCTGAATTATAACGAAATTAACAATAATAGGCCCATCAGAAAACTTACCGATACACCGCCTATCACAAGACCTCGATCAGTTACTGTGTCTTCGTAAGGCAACTTAATTTTATAGACATCACACGACGATATTGGATTATATTTAAGATAAGGAATACTAATCTTGTTTATATTAATAGAGCTGGATCTCCTCAACCTCTTAATGTGCCATATACCAATAAAAGAGATATCAAAGTGGATAATACTCCTAAGAGAATTAGCCAGATTGACCTTAGCAGCGACGATGATAATGGTCGCCCGGGAACTCCGGCTAAAGATGATGGAACGAATGGCCAGAGTCCGCAATGGAAGTCAAAAATATCTAATATTAAGAAATCTATCATTGGTACACCTAGATTCCACAGAAGGAAGATGATTGGTATGGTATCATTGATCCTAAAATAGTAACCAGTTCATGAACTAAGCTCAATACTTTTTATCCATCGTAATTCTCTTTATCAACAGTCACTGAACCTGGAAATGATGATTCTACACCCACCATAGCTCCGGATTCACCCGAGTAAACTTAAATATATTCTTGATACAGTGATTATAGTAGATTTATACTAAATACATTTTTACCTCATATAACAATTTAGAACTGCGGTGAAAAAGTCGTGGTTTAGTCAGTTAGTTGGCAACATCGATTCTGATGATGTAAATACAAGAATTTATTTCGTTTTATTTCATTTTTATTTAATGATAATATGGTGATTCTTTTATATTAATATATATAGCATTGAATATCTATTCTTACATTTAAAAATTTACATTGATAGGTTTTCGTCATAATCAAGGATAAAAACATCTCTATGATAAAAGCAGACTTGATACAAGCCTTGCTCTCGGTTAGACATTAGAATTTATCTTTAACTATTACCTAACTACGATTTAAACATAGAATTTGACGTAAATTGACATTGATGATTTCGTCAATTTCTTGAATAGATGAAGGATCTTACTCATCAGGTTACTTCAGCGACTCAAATTATCGCAGAAATTAAAAAATCATGTAAGTTTCTTTAACTTTTTGTAAGAGATAAATATTACCTAGATGTAATAAAAGATGTTGACAAATCCCAAGTTACTTTTGTAATTAACTAAAAGTGGCCTTGTTGTCAATTTATTATAGCCGTATTCCAATCTAAACCGCTAAAGTTTATGATCAACATTGAGAGCTCCAAAACGAATTCAGATAGTCTCTACTATACGGTTACAATGAAGTTATTGACATGTAAGTGATTAGTGTGCAATTTTAGTAATGAACTATATAGGTTGAGCGCTTATTATAATTATACAGTAGTGGATCGAGTTGAAACTTACACATGGTGCAATTGTTTTCTTCAAAATTAGCTGGGCAAAAAAGACGATTTAAAAAGATTGCCGATAATATTCAGAAGGTATTGCTTCTTCCACGCTCCGCAGCAGCTGGCGTTGTGAAACATATGAATCTATCAGATAGTGACAGCGATGATGGAGACTTTTAAAGATTTCTTTAGTGTGATATCCATTTATGTGGTGTTTTATCATCTTAGTTATTATTCGTATAAAATTTTAAGCTTTGAATGCATCTTACAATCTATAAAGTTAATGGATAGATTTTCTTAATGTTCTTTTGCGGACAACTTCAATTAGTCACTAGGTTATGCGAGTATTACATGAAAAATGTATAGAGTATACTACCTCGTTCCCTAACTATAATTAATGATAAACTTTGGCACAAGCATTCTTTAATAGGCCAATATTAGGAAATTTAGAACATGCTACAATTGTGAAGTGAATTTTTTCATTGGCTATTTTTAAATTACCTTTGGCAGTGAAAATGTTCTTAGCCGAAACCATATGACTATACTAATTTGTTTAAGCTAGCGAATTCGAAGTTCTACTGCAATCAGAATCTTAATTAACAGTACGTCAGATCGTACACATGCACTTTTTGCTACCCGAGAAGAAAAACAACAAATTGCATTATACTCAACAACTTTCACTTTTATAACCAATATCTTTAGCTTATTTGGTCTTTCACTCATTTTAGACAGTGTTTAATTTTTTGTTGAATAGAAAGAAAAGTCCGTCCGTCAATGTAAATATGTATACGTGTAAGACATTTGACTGTGTTTTTATTACACAATCTGATATGACATAAAATTTTTTGTAAAGTTCCTATAACAATAAATGGAGTCTATCTATAACAATGACAGTGATCGATTTTAAAAGTAGCAAGAAATATAACCGTGCTGTTGTGTATATCAACTTTGCAATCTTCTATACAGTAGTGTAAAAAATTTTTATTGACAAAGTCTATATTCTACTATCCGTTGCATGGGTATGCAATTAAGTTGTTGCTTTTAGCATTTGTATTAAATCATCTAGTGGACTCGTCTCCTTTTCATCTAATAAGTTAAACTCTCTAGCAAATAGTACATAATGTAAGAGTAATGCATTTAGATGTGTACTCTCTTCGAGATCAATTATAGTTTGAAAATGTGAGTGATAGATATGTGCGATAACATGAAATAATATTTTAAAAATTTTCTTAATAATATTTTGAAAGCAAGAAGGAAATTCTGTGCCTAGAAATAGTATATAAAGGAGGAGCGAAAAAATAATTAGTACTATTTAATTAAGAATAAAGATTTACATTGGCTAATTCAATTTATAACATAAGTTTAATGCAGTATGCATTACAATTCATTTAAATAGTGTTATGTCTTGTCCCTATCAACTACTAGTATGGTAGATTAAAACCAGTGATTGTCTGATATCATGATGCTTAGCGATACCTATAACTAGACAACACGAATACGAGTTGACATTATTCGCGTATCAATATACAGTACTATAGTTTACAGTATCGGAATTTACCATCGCAATTTGCGTACTGTATGTGCGTCGATATACGTGGATATAAAATTTGTATGTAGGATAAATCGTGAAAGTAATAATACCTTCGTTGACAGTTAAGATCCGAAAATGAACTAATGTACGTATTAGTACTATATCAAGGGGCTCGGCAGCGTTGAAAAGTTATTCAAAATACGATATGATCATAGATGTATATATTATACACTCGGACAGATTATCGTCTAAGGCTTGATGGTATATTCATTGTTGTATTGATGTATTCTAACTATTGTTCTAGCAATATTATGCAATCGAGCATACTCAATCAAGGTCATTACTTAGAACATTTTTCTCCTCCATATACTATGCAATAAGCCATATTAAGATACAAATTAATCGAGCTGAAGTAATAATCAATGTAATTACTTAATATCTTATGACATTGACACAGTGAAATGATATAAATGATTATAATTAGTCTGTTTTCTGCTACGGTACTGTGTGCTATTGCTGATCGACAGTATACACATTATTTTAGAAATGTTAATGCAAAATTGATTCTATATCTAGGTTACTCCATACTCTACTAGATTTCTATACAACGGTTACCGATAATGACGACAAACATATTTTAGTGTAAAAACATTCACTCAATGAGACTGTATAATCCAATGGCAACGGTCATCTTCGCCTAAGGTTAATTATTGTAGCATTCAAACGCTTTTTTATCGTAGTTGATGACCTTAATAATGACGTCTACTACAGCCAAAGGAATAGAAGAGTATCCTACTTTATTCTCGTCATCATTTTTGATCACTCAATTTTATCTATTATAAGCATTAAAGTATTGCAATCGATAACAAGTATATTAGCAATGGATTACATCAAACAATTCTCTCAATATACTCCGCTATTAACTTATATATTGCTATCTATCCAATCGTAGTGAACATACCATATTTAGTTGAGAAAATTTCTTCATCATTAACTTGTTTTTCGATAAATGACATCACAGTATCAATGTACTGAGGTGCTGACAATTTAATTTTCTTATTTTTATCATCATACCAATTGTATTGACTAGAAGAAAAAAAATGCCAATATCGAAGAAATTATGACTAAACAATAACTTTATGTCGTAATCATTTATCGTCATCACATTTGTCTACTAATAGTAAATATTATTTAATACATTCTTATTATTTATTGATGATAATCGGATAAGGATAGATGGTGAACAATATGAAACCAGTAGTTAAGTTATACGCGTAGAACAAAGTACAGTAATAGATGAAAACAATCGTTTCTTTAACACCTCCAGTAGATTATTTTTCCTCTACTAGTAGAGTCTATGTTCAATAAAAGGTATCAAATCTACGAATAGAATGGATTTGATGTAATACAAATCAATCTAAATGAAAGCGAGGTATTTAATAGTTGACATTTTGTCCTAAGACCAATGGTACAAGAAAAGTCTTTCTCTTTTATTAGAACACTATAGGATGGATATCTAGCGTACAATTATCGTCGGGGGAAGTATGAGATTAAAAGCCCCACAACAAAAAAAAATTAGTACTGATGAGCTTGATGATAAAGAATGCCCAAAATATGTGCAGCTTTGAGTAGTGCATTCGCTAAAGGTACCAAAGGTACTACAGTAATTTTATTCTTGTAGCTATAAGCTATAGAACATAACAGCAAAAATTACTCGTCCTATCGCACAAGTCTAGTATTGTATTTCACCATGAAATTAACAAGAGTTAATTGAACTTACGTAGCACCAGCGTTCATGATCGGGCAGTTAGCGGTTGTACACTGTTCGTTGACAGTGCCAAAGATCAAGTTAATATTCTTGAAAAAGTTGACAGCTATAATTACATCATTAACAAGTATAAAGAATGATTAGTATTATCATTTTTTCTCCATAGCAGCTTGATCTTTTTAAACTCAGCAACGTCGACTACGCCTATTAATCCATCAACAAAGTAAAGCTATCCTACTAAAATTTAGCGTATAAAGCCCTATCTAGGCGTAATGATGACATAGTTTCTAATCGAGTATCACTGATGAAAATGTGAGATTTTTAGGGTGTAAAGTAGCGGTTGAATGTTGCCCTATCCATGGTCAAAATAAGTATTAGCGTTGTCGATGTCACGATACACTTTTGCAATAGTTTGTCGGTAGAAATGGTCGATATTTTTATCTAGACAATCAATCATTACGACAGCACCTACTGTATGACCATGACGACATCAAGCGGAAAAAAAAGAAGGAAAATATCTGCAGGGTATCTTACTGTAGGTTAAGCGATTATACAATAATGACATAGTTCAAAAGTCAGATCAATCAAGCCAAAGAGAATCAATCGTTCTATTGGCAAAGTATAGAAAGTACCGATAAAATTGAAGAAAAGAGAGTTTATAGCAAAATGCAGATGTTGGATAAGTGCACTTTAGACAGGTTAAGTTGTACTCGACTATTGACAAGAAAGTATGGATGGTATTTACCATGAGTTGCCAGCCATTCGTTTAAATCGACGCCTGGTGGTAATTTAACACCATGAACAAAATCGAAGTCGACAATCTTATGATGGAGGAATTTACTATCCAAGTAAGCTTTTTTCTCTTCAACTACAGCTTTCTTTTTCCCTTTCCTATACATAAAAGAATGTTGATGTCGATTAGATGGTCGTTATGTTGAACGATGAAGGTGAAAACAAACCGATGTTGACGATAGTCAATGGAGTCCAAAGGAAGAAAGGAGGAAAAATTGGCTAACTCTCTGTCTCTAGTTAACTGATCCTTTAGTATGTAAACAGCCTAGTTTTCTACTATTATTTGTACTGTATATTGTTGGTGTAATATTGTCTCGATGGTGGTAATATCTCAATTAAAATTAAATTGATTTCTATCTTTCTAAAGTAAAATTTAGCCCTACTCCATCACTAGAAGTAAATCTTGTAGTCTATACACACATTGTTCGATCGATTCTACTACAGACGGTAAAGTTGGAAGCCGTGATCAACATTGAATGCTTCAAATCGTTTTCAACTTACCCTAAGCCTAACCATTCCATTGATTTGATCGAGAAAGTATACTAACGCTGCCAGCCGTTATTGACCTTATTATTCGCTGAAGGATTTTGATTCAGACAGTGGATGAGTGTTGGCCGATAGAAATACACTGGTAGCTAGTGGAAACCAATGTCTTGAAATGCTAGCCAATATGACTTGGGTAATTAATAACAAGTCGGTCAAGAGTCCACCAAGTCACAACAGTTTTGAAAGATGATTCTACTCTTCTACTACGCCAACCGATAGACCAGGAGGAGGGGGAGGAAGGGGTAGAAGAAAGAAGAAAACTATAAGAACTTTCTACAGCTTTAGATTGATGCTATTGGATCTCAATTGATTGTCATCAGGAATTGGAAAAAAAAATGGATGCCAAACTATCACGACGAGTTAGCGACCACAGAGATCGATAGGCCAATTAACGTAGACCAATCCAAATACAATAGGAATAACTATGGAAAATAGATTGATGTTTGCGTACCAACGTTAGCTAACTAACTCCGACAAGCTTATGAAGGTGTACAATCCTCACTGCAAATAGAATACAAACAGTCTTTCACAGCTTATGATGAAGCACATCAACAAGACTGTTATAACTGTAATGAGCTATTCAAGTGGATAACACTGCAGTAATAGAGAGAGAAAAGCTATAAATAAATAATAAATCCACTAACAAAAATGCACAGCAAGCAGCCCAACAGTGGAATGGCCGACGTTGGACTTTCGTTGCTGATGCCAGCAAATCCGACGGACGGAAGCTTCTTACTGTACCAAGTACGGTGTGTACACCAGTGAAAAGGACTGTATACTGTAGGCATAGCGAGTCCCGCAGTGGGCTGTCATACAAGAACATATTCTCCCAATCGATACACTGCTTAGACTAACAGTTTAACTCCTGTACTGGTCACTCTATTCCAAGGAGGTGTTGATCAGTCTTGTCAACGAAGGGTGGGGCCCTTAGCTCAAGGATCAAAATAGTTGAACAAGAAAAGCTCCAAGGTGTATATAAAATGGCGTTGATAGTTATGCCAACAAATCAAAATATATCAAGGGATAATAGTGGTTAAAGGTCTACGGCAAAAGTTTTCTCATGAGTGTTTATTGCAGTTTTGGGGACGGCATTTTGTAGGTGGGGGCCCTTACCTCAAGGATCAAAATAGTTGAGCAAGAAAAGCTCCAAGGTGTATATAAAATGGCGTTGATAGTTATGCCAACAAATCAAAATATATCAAGGGATAATAGTGGTTAAAGGTCTACGGCAAAAGTTTTCTCATGAGCGTTTATTGCAGTTTTGGGGACGGCATTTTGTAGGAGCGGTCGTTGTGTTGTAGGAAACCTTTTCTCTTTCCATTCAAAAAAAAAATGGAGAAAGACCCGGAAAGCCCCTCGGTGCCACTACCGCTAATCATTATATATATATATATATACATCTACAATTCACGTAATACAATGGACATAGCATAAGGATTTTTCTCTCCCTACTTGCCCATCATCTCACAAACTAGTCGAGAATCACTCTACTGTAGGCTATTATTACTGTTATAGCAAAACTTTGTGAAAACTTTTACACAGGTCTATTGCACTCATTATTGAATGGTCTATTGTAGTGATGAACAAGTCATTCAATATTGCCAGCGTGAAAGTCCTTCATTTTTGCCTAAAACACTAAACTATGGCAAGCAAAATGTTTTGACTGCAGCCTTGTCCTACTCCAGTTCATACGCTGCTATTATGCAAGCTTAGAAGGTTAATAGTACCCCTGCAAATCTCTTCTGAATATATTCCAAATCATCAGCAATGCGTCGACAGTTAACTGTAGTCCGCTCTTATGCGACTGGTCATAATAATGCCGCACTTCCTTATTATATGATTGTGTTGATAGCACAGATCTGTCTCATTCCTTTTTAAATGGCCTACTGTAGTGATAAACAAGTTCTTCAATATTGCCAGCGTGAGAGTCATTGAATTTACCCAAAATACTGAAGCATTGAAAGCAAAATGTCTTATGTCGTGCTCCAGTTCATACATTGCTATCATGCAAGCTTACAAAGTTAACAGTACCCTCCAAAATCTCTTCTGCCGCTATACATTGCGTATACACTAGGCCTACTGTCTGACTATATTCTAAATCATTAGCAATGTGTCTACAGTAATCCGTTATTATTCAACTAGCCACAACACTGCCGTACTTCCTTATTACATGATTGGATTAATAGCTTAGAATATTAACTATGAAAGTACAACACTATTTGTATTTGATCGGCCAGTTCTCCAATCGATTACTGACTGACTACTATGTTACCTTATTATCTTGACAGGTTGATGAGAGGATATTCTAGTAAACATGAGACAGGATGGGAGTGGGACATAAGGACAAAAATTTCTATATAAAAGACAGTCCTCGTATATGATCACATAGTTAAAACAGGCATCAGAGTGTCACACTAAGCAGTCTATACTCTGTTTTCGTTTCCGGTCCACGCAGATTTCCATAGTAACTAATTCATTATCAAATCATATTGATGCGATAGACTCGATTAACTTCAAATCGGACTATATTCCCTTGAATTTCCACTGATTTCACCAGTAATGATAATTAATTAAGGAACTACTAAGAAACTGCAGGCTCTCAAAGGAGAGTTGCCGGTGTCATTGAGTCAAAGGCTAAAGGCACTGAAAGGACACTTCATGTCCGGACAATCTTAGTAGTTCCTGCCTTGACTATGGACTATTTTTTATTAGTCCGTGCTTTGGTCAACGACAAATTTTTTCTCTTCTGCTATATAACTCAGAGCACAGTCAGCATACAGGCATCACAGACAGAGTAGCTTTGCAACCGAGCTCAATCCCAGTTCGCAGAAGCTATCATTGCACTATTACGACGATTGGCTACATTAAAAATAACAATATTACTATGCCTGATTACTAGAGTAATATAAATACAGTTGATTCATTCAACATCCATTAAAATGCACCTTGCAAACAAGAATATTTAGCTTAGTGTTTGGAATGTCTATCATAAATGCTTCACAGACTTCTAAAGATCTACCACTCATATTTAGAATACCTTAATTATGAGTACCGTTGATTCATTCAAGATCAATAAAAATGCACTATCATCAACTGTATGCCTACTATCGTACAGTAATGTTGTTATTCTCAATTTCCAACTAGAAAAGAACATTTGCACTCATCAGGTACAGTAGTTTAAAGTTAAAAACAATTCCTAGCATCATAGCCATTACTAGACTGTAAATTCATGGGTCAAAGCGATTTTATTTATTTTTCGTAACTCAGTAAAATCGAGTTATACGTACCGAAAAAAGGAAAATATATACTACTTAGATCGACTGTGGATACAGCTTTTACAAAGTAAATTAAAAGTTTTACCATTTTAATACAATGTCATTCTTATAAAATTTCCGAGCTAAACAGTCAATAGAAATGTATAAATAAAATGATTATATCTTGTTTGTGGTCGTTGTCAATACACTCCGAGGTAAGAATGCTCACCAATTTCACAATACAAGCCGATAGAAATCACACAGTTAACATTAGGTGCTACATTTGAAACATTGTAAAGTATGATTAGAGTATAGTTTTTAGTGCAATACTCTTAGTTCAATAGATGACTGCAAGCATAACTTGATTAATATCTGTCAAATGTATATACTGTATCATGCTTCAAATCGGTAGCATAACCATCGTAGATGGTTCTATGCCATTCAACGGCATAGGGTGATCATTATATATATATATATATAAAATACAATTTTAATGAGTAAATACAACTAAAAGTATATATCTCAATATTCTTAAACATAGCTAACAGTAATACCTTTCACGTAGGATTAATTAATTAATTATTATTTCTTGGCTTATTAATGGTTCAATTCTACACAAAATATTATATATAAACTGTACAATGTTGTCATGTAGGAAATGATATCCGTTAAAAATCTAAGGCGGTCCAGAATTAATGAATTAGTACTGTCATTTTAAACTTATTTTCTATATATATATAGAGAGAGAGAGAAAGGTTACTTTATACAGAAATCTGTTTTCAATTCAGTATAGCATCTTAAAATACAAAGTCGCTTATAATAAAGATGCTCAATCGATGAGAAAATTATTCTAAAAATATTCTGTTGTTTCGATTCTCACAGTATACATATTGTCGTGAATTAGACCATCAATAATGAACTTTAAAAATCAGTATCATAAATACATAATTTAGAGAATTGAAAATTAATTTATATATTGCGGCTGCTATCTAAAAGATTAGTAGAACTTGTATCTTTGTTATCTAATAGAACAGAGCCTCTTGTCGACAACTTTAGTAATTCTTCTTTAATACTTCTAATTAAAGGTTTAGAGCTTTGTGAAGATACACCACTGGCAAAACTATCAACTGTATTGGATAGTGGTTCCATAGCTTGTAATCCTGCTGGACTTCTTACTGCCAATTTTTGCGCCCGAGGTCCTGTTCTATCAAGTGATGATAGACCACCTAAAGATGTTGGCGTTCGTTGTGATTGATTTATATTGCTTGTCGTTGGTAGACGATTTGCTGTTGGTGTGTCCTGGAAAGATGCATTTGGCTAAACCAGAATAGAAATTCATTAGAAATGGATTGATTGCTTAATTTCACTTATAAGTAATGAATTTCAACTAAATCTATTGCTGATAATGCCTTTAATTGAAAATGAAATTATTCCATTAAGACGAGTAATAATAGGTAGCTTACATTGACATTGCTTTGTCCGGTCGGTAAAAATTGTGGATTATTATTCTGCATAGCTGAATAATCTGGTGCCCAAGTCATTCCACCCATTCCATCAGGTTGCTGAACAACTGGAGTTACGTGCATCTGCTCGCCACTATCAGTCATTGGTATAGCAGTATATTGAGGTTGCGGTTGAGGCTGGTAGCCCATAACTAATAATAAATAGATGAGGATGAAAAATTAACATTTCCACTCCTATAAACTTATTACAACTCTTAATAATAGTAGGAATATTTATTTTAAGCTCTATGGTTATGAAATGAAGGAATCAAACAAGTCATTTATCGATAAGCTCGATCATCTACGCATATGAGCATTTCTTCTCCGTAATGACTAATAGTAGTGTTCAAAATTAGATCACTGCCAGGCTAACTTGAAAGTGATATCACTCAATCCTTAATAAGATTAACATAATACTATGGATGCTACAATTGACTGGTTCTAAATGATGTCGGCGTGTCTACTTTTGCTAAAGCTATTATCCATTTATTGATGTATGCTATATAAACGATAACAGATATGTAATCGGCTAGAATGAAAGATATCTCTTAGAAGGCGATGACTTACGATATGGCGGCCTCATGCCAAACATGTTTGGATGCGTTGCCAACATAGGATTATAGATCGGTTGATTGGGCATGGACATATTTTGAGGATAGTAGGAATACAATGGTGGATATTGCTGATTATTAAACTGTTGTTGTGCGCGTATACGATTACCAACCACTGGTGCAGTAACCTCTTGGGCTTTATTAAATTGATTTTGTTCTGGACGTATGAAAGAGCGTGGCATGCTCGATTTAGGCACATTAGATAGACCATTGGTTCTAGGTCCACTGGTAAAGATAGGTTGAAATGTATTAGCCGGTTTAGGCTCTTGTTGCTTGTTGAACTGCTGTGAAATTTGTGGTGGTCCTTCTTGCTCACGTCCTAAACTACCTAGTGTAGCTGTTGGTATTTCACTTTGATTCAGGGTAGAATTTTGCGGGCTTTGTTCTTTGGATATCTTTTCCTCAAATGCCTTTGCTAGTGTATCAGAAAAATCTGGACCGAGTAATTTCAATGCATCAGAAATAAGATGTTGCATTTTCTCTCTTGTCTTTTCATCCTGTGGTTCTTTACTACCATCACTGTTAATTGGTGGTAGATGTGTATCATCTGGTTGATCGTTATCCTTATGTGTTGTAATCAAAAATTATGCTTAGAATAATGTCAATCATTGCTATTAGTAAGTAAGGAAAATAGAAATCAAATTGCTTATGCTTTTTCAATCTATATTCGAATGATTATCCTCTGTAAACTAACCCTCTCCGACGTATGTAATAAATTCATTTCCTCTGGCTTGTGTGGTGTAGAACTTGCTGATACAGCTTCTGGCTCTGGAGCGATTCGATAGCGTTGTCGATAGCCAAAGTTTTTAAATCTAAATCCAGATACCGATTCAGTTTAGTACGGTGTATTCGTGACATGGTTATGGTAATAACTAAAGAGTAAATATTGCTTTAAAGATTACATTGAATTACCTTTTACTCTTAGCAGCTGCTGATTCAGGATCTAATACAGCGCCAATATCTTTTTGTGATTTTCTCCAAGATTTCTTTTGCTCTGGGTCTGGTAGGCTTGCTTCTGGTTTGGCTAACTCTTGTTTACCAATAATTGCATTAATTCTATCTCGTTGTCGTTGTTTATTGCGCCATCTTTCTACTTCAGATTTATGCTCAAAAACTTTTTTCTCGTCCTAAAATAAAAGTAGAATATGGATAATTTAGAACGTGATGTATTGTACTCTATTTTCACGCTGATTATAGGTATCATAAAGGTAAAAACTAAAGTTGGAAATCTTCCACTCTTACCAATTCATGATCATCTTTGTTTGGCGTTGATTTAGACTTATTTCTACCTCGTGGTGGTAACCCAACCGCTGGAACCGATGCATTAGTCGAAATTTCTCGACGACTGATTAATCTAATTTCTGGCTTTTCAGAAACAACAGCTTTCCTAAATATTTCACGCTGCGATCTACGTGTCCGTAATCGCTCACGGATATCATTTTCTTCTTGATCATCTGATCTACTGCTATCTCGCTTTCGATGTGGCAATGGCCTATCGACAGAATCACTATCATCCGATTTATCGATAGGTAAATCACGTCGTGGAGCTGGCATCGGCCGAATTTTGTTTCGTGGCCTATAGGAAGACGGTGGCGGTGGTGTTTCCCCTGCAATAGTTGGAGGTGGTCGAACAACAAAAGCTGTTTCTTCCAGCTGAATAGAATAAAATATCAAGAACATCATTAATATGATTTCGATAAAGTAGGCAATAGATCAATCTGCATCCATGACAAATACCATATAACTAATGGGCATATAAAAATATAAAATTCTGATTACGGTATTTAAATAGGTTAAATTTCATTATAGTAACTGATGACAATGGCCTGGAGGTAAGGAATTCTTTCCACTTACTTTAGCAACTTCCTTAGGATCTGATGGTGGTTTCTTAACCATTTGTAATTCTTCTTCTATTTTTTTGTTGGCCGAATCAACATAGCACTTATAGTATACAACTAGTCCAACGAGTGCAAGTAAAACAACACCCCCTGCTGCAGCACCAATAATCCAGTAAGGAAAAACAGCAGGCACCGGTGCAACGAGAGCCCTGAATGTAGATAGTACCTGTGGCAAGAGGGATTATAGTTGGATGTTATGTATAAAGTAATAATAAAAATATGTTTATATTAGATGTAATGCGATTGATCATTTGAGAAAGAAAAACACTTATTGAAATCGATTGGCTAAGCTGTTAAACAAGCCGCAAACTTGAGCTAGGATTATTTTAATCACTTACTGGACGATGAAGTGTAGCCGAAGCAACAGTTTTATCAACTCGATTGAGAGTAGCAGCAGCAGTAGTTCCTAAAATAAATTCTTGACTTTTTATAACATAGAAGACAATCAAAGCGCTGGTAGGAGTTGTTGCACTTCTACTTGTGTTATATACCTAGGTGGCAAATGAATAATTTAATATTTAAATTTTATTCGGATATTATAGAGAATATAAATGTATTTTACAAAGCTAGCTTTACTGATGGTCATAATTACCCCAACGGTGGTTGCTACCGGTAATGTTGCTCGTTTGACCCGTGTGGCTGCTGCGCTATCATATAATGCTGCCAATTTATTTTGTAAATCGTTTCTAAATGTATCATTGCTTAATTGGATAGTAACACTGACAGACATATCAAATTCTACTAGATAAGTTGCATTTGGAACTTGATAGATGCCATCAGTAGCGGTCTCATTGGAAGTTGGAGTAGAGGTTGTACTTGTAGTTGCATTGGTTGCAGTTGGCGTATTCGATGATGTTGTTGAAGTAGTTGGATTAGTTGGTGTAGTTGCATTCGTTGGTGTTGTAGCATCCGTTGGTATTGGAATAGTTGATGTAGTTGGTGTAGTAGCGTCGGTAGTAGGGTTAGGTAGTATTGTAGGAGCGACTGAAATCGATGGAGATGCTAAGGCATCAGTAGAAACTTGATCAGTCGAAAAAATTGGAGTTGGTATAATCGGAGTTGTTGAAATATCAGCAATAGATGAGACAGTATCCGTCGGCACTTGCGATGAGGGCAATATCTCTGACAAGAAAGATTGCGATGATAACAATGGCAATGGAAGCGATGACGATGATAATGATGAGGATAGCGATGAGGATAATGATGGCAATGAAATGGCTGATAATGACGAAGATGATGATATTATTGATACTACTAATGACGATGGAAATTCTGGAATCATGGAACCACTGATATCACGACTTGTTTGACCAATTTGGTCGGTTAATGACGGTGAAATAATATTAGTAAGTGTATCAGATTCGACCAAAATTATGGAGATCTGAGAATTAGAGTCTGTTATGGTTTGAGACGGCGATAAAACAGTGGAATAGTACGTTGTTACTTGATAATCAGTTTGTGTCGATACTTGTGAATAGTTCGGATCGCTATACAAACTAAAACCACCATCCGGCAAAGGAACCGATGAAACATCACTTGTAACCTGTGGATAACTAGTGGTTAGAATACTAACATCTGTGATGCTATCAAGATTACTTGATGGCAAAATTAGGCTTCCAGAATCGAAAATAACTTGTGATTCACTTATCAACTGATCAATAACTGATGATTCCAAAGGTAGTTGATTCGATAACGAGGGATCAGGAAATGCTGATGATAATAAATCACTCACAGCTGGAATTGCAATTGTTGTCGTACTGCTTACAGTTTGACTAATTTCAGAAGCTGCGCTTGACAGTTGATTTGAAGATACAATCGAAATGGTATCAATAACGCTATAATCACTGGCTAATGGTAGTTGAGAGAGACTGAAATCAATGGATGGTTGATTTACTGCGCTATCAAAATCGTTACTGATTAAGTCCAGTGATTGAATTACATCGCTTTGCAAGAATATAGTTGAAAAGATTTCATTAGATGGTGCTATTGTATTGATGCCATCACTAGATAGCAATTGATCCATGGAACTAAAACCTATCAGAAAGAAAAAATAGTAAAACAAAAATTAATAACGTATTAGATTTACAACAGAGCTGAAGTTAAAACTCGATCAATTTGATTCCTTCTACAATGTGATATAAGCTTAGGTGAGGTTATTCAACTTCAAAACTGGATACTAGTAACATGGTATAAATCTTTCAAGTCATAGTACTAATAGGATAATCAGTAATCAACCGTATTAATCAATTATTACGCATAAAGTTTTTAAAAAAATGCTTCGATAGTGGTAAGCTATCAAATCGATCATCTACGAAATAATAAAATTTTCAGTATGAGAAGTTCTAATCGGTAATTTGAACCCTTCGTTACTCTGTAAGAAATTTTTTGCAATAAATTTAACCACTAGCTAAATGCTACTGTTACACTATTCGTTATGTGAAGACGCTTTAGATATCATAATGCCTAGAGCGTAAAGTATTGATTTGATAAACCTAGATATACATCATATACTTATATGAATGTACAGCCTAAAGTTTTTCTGAAAAATGGTGAACAATCATTTCTTCATCAATAAAATATCATCATTTATAGAAAAGTAGCTAACACGATTTTGTATAGTTACATTACTTGATATGATTACAATAACACTTGGGATCTTTCAGGTTAATTAGTCTATCAGTATTAAAACAGATAAATAAAATCTGTAACATTTAGATTTATCATTCCCATTTGCATTTTAATAAGTGGTCTCTGAATTCTTTTTAAAACGCTTAGATAGATAACGGTCGCGAAAATAGTAGTGCTGTAAATTTAAGTTGCTTCACATGCATCCTTACAGCAGTAGGACATAGATTAGCGCGACTTCGTCCGATAGTTTGTTAAAACTTTTCATCATCGAATAGAGAATTTTTACAAGTAGCATATCACCTTAATGGATCAAGCTTCATACTAAAACGAGGCTAAGAAGGGCTAGGAATAACTCATAATTGATAATCTTATGATTTAAAAATAATTTGAAATATCGAACGCACTTATCATATAGACCCACTCAATACAAACAGAGCATTGGCTAATAATGCTGTAAAATGGAAGACGGTCGTCATAATCCAACCTATCAGTCTAATAACTAGCGACAACCTTTTATCCCCACTATTCTATTTTTTAAGCTATCCAATCGCTATCTTAATAAGCGCTCTACTAATTTAATCTGCTTTCTTAATCCATGTAGTCTTAGAGTTAACGTTACGGAAACGGGCTTAACTGATACTTTCGAAAAGAATATGATCTACAGTTGAATGGTCGAAAATATGCGCCTTGTGAACAAAATGAGTGTAATACAAATCTAAGATTTAAAAGCAATTATTGATACTGAACACTAAAATAAGTCATCTTATACTGAAATGAAGCGTCCATAAAGGATTCTATTACAAATTTCTGTACTAAGCATAATAATATTGGGAAAAGTAAGTAAAATCGATTAATGTCAAACTCCATTTTATTATGCATTTATTTAGGTACATTAAACGTGAATTTGATATTTATTTTTTTCTAAGATAGTTTATAGCTGTAAAAGAACACTGTAAATAGCTCTCTTCTATATCAGATAGAAAATAATCAAACGATAAAAAAGCGAAGGGAAAAATGACAACGAAAAATCATGGCTATATTCTTGATTAATGATGTTATGAGTAGATGTCGTATCTGTTTTTACGTCGATATTTTTTCGGTATAAGTAGCTTGAAATTATAGTTACTTTCTATACTGTAATACCTTGAAATTCATTGCTGAGTAATTGAAATGATGATTGTTGAGCCACAACTGCATGAGGTATGCATAATCCAATCCAAAGATAGACTAATGTTATCATCATGATGTGGGGATTGGATCGAATTCGGAAGGGAGTAGATTGTAATTTCATAACACTAATTGCGGCATCAAGTTCTTCAGTAAGCAAATAACTTAGAATGATAGAATTTCATGGAAAAAATGCTTGCCCTTAGTTATCTGAAAGACTTTATATCAAGTCTTTGTATCCTTTCAGCACTTTAATATAACCGCTAGTACAGCCCAGCACGGGCTGATGTGGATGCGTTACCATGGCAATGGCCAAAAATAACGCCGTCATCGCACTTTTCATTGCTACGGTATAATTTTCTTATTACAATATTTTGTACTGTAATTCTCAACGAATTTGATAGTAAGATGCAATCGAATTTTACAGTATATAGTACTGTACACTGTACAGTAATATGATGGATTTTGCGCAGGACTGCGGGTGCATCTAATATGACGTATTCTCCAGTTATTCTATACAGTTCAAGAGTAGATTCGATAGAGAAACTGCTCAGTATACTACTTGCTCTATTGTATCCGTATCAATACTATGCTAGTCAGGTAGAAATAGCTTAACCAAAATGGCTGGTCTATCTATAGCCTTGCCGCGCTCTCATCTATTGTCCATTTTATTAATGTACTGTAATAATGGAAAATAGAAAGAAGGTAACTACAGTATAGCATCGAGTAATGCTTTAATGCGAGGTAGTATTAATACAGGGAGAAATTTCACTTTTGGAGGCCTTTCATTCCAAAAATCCCGAAGGCGTTCATCACATCATGGTTACGACTGATGAATGATGGCTATATACACTTAGTTATAATAATTTGAATAGTAGCGAATGTTTCAGTTTTATTTGCCTTATATTATTAAAATAAATTGGAATGCAATCAAGTGTGGATCTCTAGGTATTAGAATAAAGTAGGAGAGCATTATAGATGATAATGATAGCTTTAGTAGAGAGGCAACTCCTATTTCAGTTCTGGATGATTCGCATTATTAAAGAAAATTGGAATACAATCAAATGGTATCCCAATGGTGAATGATAACTTTACTAGAGCGATAGCTCCTATTCTGTTCTAGATGTGTCGTGTTATTAAATAAATTGGAATACAATCTAGTAGTATCTTTTGGCATTAAAATAAAATAGGAGAGTATTATAGAGGGTAAATGATAGCTTTGCCAGAGTGATAGCTCCTCTTTCAGTTCTATATGAGTCGCATTATTAAAGTAAATTGGAATACAATCCATTGGCATGCCTAGGCATTAGAATAAAAATAGCTATGATATGCCACGAAAAAGATAGCGACGTTTTTGTTGCTACAGGATAATATATTTACTATGGATCTATTCAGTATAGTGGATTATGCTTATGGATGTTGAATTATTGTAGTGTATGAGTAATATAATTAACGATATTAAATGTAGATAAATGCAAAAAGGTCACACAATACCCTTTTAACTGCGTTAAAATAGACTAAATGGAAAAGTCTTTATACATGCGGAACAATTCAAGTCTCAAGATTTTGCAATATGATCAAATATGGATCCCTTACGATTTTATAAAATTGGAAGAGTGCTTTTAATAATGGTTAATGCATCGACTTTCTAACTATAGTATTCAATATGGATCGGTATTGTATAATAATAGATTCTCTATTCTAATGGAATAATGCTGTTCTGGTAGTAAAATGGACTACATTAAATAATTAAATGGATTGCAAAGAAGTTAAATGGGTTTTCATTACCGTACAACGAATTGCTAATAATATAAGGATATATACATCAATGATTTACATTTTTCGATCTTGATAAATTTTTTATGACGTCAATTGTAAGGTGTAAAGTATAGAAGACTTTAAGAAAGTGCGGAAAGGTCAGGACGAAGTAATTTGCATACAGAGGTCACGATATCAAGTTGTAAGATCTTTTGTAGATCATGGTTTATGATCTTGAGTAAGTTATTGGAATTAAACACTTTTAACAAATAAGCAGAATAACCTAACCTTAAAGCACAATGAGGTACGGAATAGAGATATTATGGTCGTATGCTTGCAAGTGAAATAAATTGGAATGTAGTCAAAAATAGTGCCTAGCTAAGGTGTTTATCCCTTGCTTAAATTAAGCGGAGATTATTTAATTGACTGACGTACGGAAATGAGTAAATAGGGTATCTATTTCATACATGTCAGCATCTTCAATCAGACTTTATAATTAGTTACTTTGCATAGCAGTTATACAGCACATTTAGTACTGTTGACAAGAATAGATAATAGTTATTTATACGAGCATGAAATAAGTGGATGTGGTGATGATTTTCCGTCATTACTTAACTCCAACGGAAGGTAAAGCAAATGGAATAACTTATTAAGAAAATTTGATCTCCACGAACAGATTCACAAAGTAGAACAATAATGACATGTAGTACCATCACTAGAGTTCTATTTTGTAATTTACAAGACAGTTCTACGCAAAGGCATGATGAATAACAAACATGTATATTATCTACAGTATACCCATAATGTAGATTTTATTCCAGTAATTAAAATAATGAATCATCAAAATGACCTCAACACCTACAGAGAAATTTAAAAATGATAGCAATGTATGATAGTAAATAATTATACTGAATGATGACGATGTTCGTCAATATGATGGTATCTGCTTTGTCAGAAATAGCTTGTGCTCTAGCTTGTCAATTTTAGTTTCTTAGCCAGCCTCAACTAGGATAGAGATGGTAACAAGCTCAAGAAAAATACATTACAGCTACATAGTGCATTTTTTTTATATTGATAGAACTAATATATACATTCCAATATGCTGTTTACCGGCTAAATATTCTTTGACAAGTAAAGGCGTTGGTGATGATATTAACAAAACAATAACCGATAGAAAGCAATTATATCGTCCATTAATTGAGCCCATCATTCTATTTCAGCATTTTTTTCACCGGAAACTTAGCCGTAGGCTAGATCGAAAAGCAACTCTTTCCCGTTAATCCATGCTATACTGTCTCATTATGCCTTCTAAAGAAAGAAGATAACAATCCGTTACTCATTTTCCGTTTAATTTCGTGTAGAATTTTGATGCTTATGTATTATTTTATTGATCGGTTATCACCGAAATTTTTTCAATTAATAATGAAATCTAGGAGAACAATGAAATAATAATAAATAATAATTGTCTATATAATTTATAGGATACTCCTATGCTATTATTGATTTAAATCATGTGATTTCTTTCTGCAACAACAAATCATGCCATTTATGCAAATCAATGAAAGAATCAATCTTTTAGCTAAAAGTAATCATCATTAATCTAATGCTAAGTTGATCTACGAATGAGTATTTTAATACCGATCTCATGGCATGATCAGCGACATCATTATTCTGTGGTCATAAACTATATCAACGCAATAGAAATGGGCTGTTAAAATAATAATTTTTATTAGCTTTGACGATTGCAACATAATATCATATTTATCATGCTTGTTGCACATACCATTTCTATTTTATTAAATATACGTTGGAAATAGTAGCTTTATTAGCTTTGATGATTGTAACCCAATATCAGAGTTACTAGGCATGTTATACGTACTATGTTGTATTTACTAAATCTGCATCATTCTACTTCTACCTTCATTATGGCCTTCTATCGTGGTTTATGAACACTTTCTTATTTGAAATCAGTACCAGCATGAAAACGATTATAACTGTAAACTGACAGACTTTAATATAAGAATTAAAATCTTGTACTCTAAGCATTTCACCATGAATTTCAGGGATACTGATCTTTGATTCAAAAAGCAGTTTCTAGCATAAATCAGTTATATAAATATAAATTGTGTTCAACACTAAAATATACGGCCCTAGTTTTTGATTGCTTCTTCAATGATGATTACATATAATTACTCTTCGTTTGAAATAAATTGCTTGCAGTCATAGATTTAAAATTGAGTTTATTGTTTAAATCTGAATTGCATACTATTAAGATTTCAAAAAGTCTTGCTGATGAATGGTTTTGTTTGAAGATAGCTCATGCATATAAAAGATTCGGTAACTTAAAATTGATAAAAGCTCTCTAGAATATATTATATAGATATTATTTCTTTCGGCAATATGATATATCAAGGAGACTCTTAAGACGTCAGAAAATAGGTATTTTAGGTGAATTTGTGAAAAAATATCTGATATTCAAGCATAAGATGATCCGAAGCTAGAGATTAATAATTTAAGTTCTGTAGATATTGCGATATTTTCATTTCTTTCAACAATTTAATATGCTAAGGATATTGTATAGGGGTATAGAAAAATTAATATCTTAATCACGTAAGCCAATTAGAATATACTGGATATTTCCCACATAAAAAGACCCTGCAGCAGCAAATCAGTAATCTCTACAGATGTTACGATAAGCATTTTTAGTCCTTTAGATAATTCATTTGATATACTGCGTATGCAGTTTATGGTATGAGGAATTACAATTTTAAGTAAATGCATAGAGTATTTCAAGTATTTTTGCTTCATTAGAAAATTCGATTTTCCAAAGACGCAGTTTATAGGAATAAGAAATGATACTTTAAATAAATAAAATCTGTAAGAAAGTATTTGTAATGAGAGGTATAGTAGTACAAATTTGACAAACTTTTCAGAGATGATGATAAGTGTTTTTATTCCTTTAGACGGTTTAATATATCAATAGCGCTGTTTGGATGTTATGTGGTAATTAAATTAGTATTTTAAGTAAATCCACTAGAATATCTTCGATATCCATGCATAAAAATAATGTAATAGCAGCTCAATATACCACATAGTAATAAATTTCCCTATTACTCTAACTACATATAACAAAATTTCATTCCTCTTTGTTGTACCTATAAAGGATAATGTACTGAATATAAAATTTCACGATAACAAATTTAATTCCTTTTTTTGTCGTAAATAATAAAAAATCTTTCTCGCCGTAATTATAAGGGTAATGTATCGGTCTTTCTGATTGTCATGCGATACTAGTAATATATTTCACAACAGTAAATT